CAGGGAGCCCGATGCGGGGCTCGATCCCAGGACCCTGGGATCATGACCTGAGCCAAAGGCAGACGCTTAACGACTGAGCCACCCAGGCGCCCCTAACCAAATACATTTTGACTAATTTTTTCCTTTCTTTTTAGAAATCTTAATATTTTTCTCCCCTGAGGCAGTAGATTTGCCTCTGGCCACACTTAATTAACGGAAAACGGAAGGGCTTTGACTCAGGGAGAGCCCTAGGGGCTTGGGGGGTGGTGGCGCTCTGTCCTTCCCTCCCGTGACCCATGTATTTCCGTGTCCCCAGCTAGAGGCTGAGGCCGTGTTTCGGGCCATCACCATTGCTGGCCGCATCAACTGCCCGGTGTACATCACGAAAGTGATGAGCAAGAGTGCAGCGGACATCATCACCCTGGCCAGGAAGAAAGGTACGTAGCCCAGCGCCTGGGCCTCCTGCAGGGCAGCTGGGCCATAAGGAAGGGGAGTTGTCCAGCAGGTCAAGTTCACTGATGGGGCCACTGCCCAGAGCAGAGACACCCTGACAGTTGCCAGCAGCCTGTGCCCCATGTAGGTAAATCATCCCACTTTGTAGGATCGGATGAGACCGTGTATTGTATTTTATTTTAATTAATTTATTTATTGAGAGAGAGAGAGAATCGCAGGGCTCGGTCTCACGACCCTGAGATCATGACCGGAGCTGATATCAAGAGTCAACGGACTGAGCCCCCCAGGTGCCCTGAGACCATGTATTTTAAGGAGCTCTGCATTGTTCCAGTTCTGTTCTGGGGGGTTCCATCAAGTCAGTGCTGGGACCAGGCTGCATCAACTCTGGGATCCTGCCCACCCTCTTTCAGGTCCCCTCTGGGCACATCATCCTGTGTCCCCTGCCTAGGGCCCCGTGGTTGGTGCCTGCATCCAGGGTGAGGTGTGGGGCTCATGCAGAACCTTGGCTGTGGGTTGGGAAGGAAGAAGATGGGTTTCCAGAGCCTTCCATCTGGGCGCAGCCCTGTGCCAGACATCAGGTGAGTGTGGCCCAGGAAACCAGCCACCCAGCTCGAAGATGATGCACCACTGAACTGCATCGAGCGTCTGCTGCTTTGTCTCTAAGACGTGAAGTCTTAGGGCTCATAGATGTGAAGTCCTTGGCAGGACCCCAGGGCTCCGTGGGTGTTGGTTGATGCCGTTCTCAGTTCCACGTTGGCCATTCACCTCCTGCCTTGGTACCCTCACCTCCCAAGTGGGACCTCAGTACCAGGCTGCCTGCCGTGCTGAGGACCATTGGTGGAGGGCTCAGTGGGTACATTCTGACCGCAGGATCCTCGGAGCAGGGGCCCAAGTGCAGGTCCCCAGCCTTCACGACAGTGAGATCCACAGTCCCCCACCAGTCACCAGACTGAGAATGAAGAAGGCTCCAAAGAGCAGCTTCCTTCCCAAACTCAGGGAGAGAGAGAGAGAGAGAATAACAGACAGACTGACAGAGGAGGGGTCGTGCATATTATATGAAGACCGTGGCTGGTGGACGTTCGCCAAGGACATTCATCAATCTGCCCGGTCCCTCTCTGTGTCATGTGAGGCTGACAGGGAGTTGTGGGTCAGTGCGGAAGGCCGGGTGGAAATCAACAACAACCCAACAGCCATTATTGAGCATCTACTGTATACGTGATGCTCCTCATTTCTCACGGGAGCCCTAAATGGGAAGCATTACTAACTATATTTTTAAAAATACCTTCAATAAGATATTTTTAACCTCAGGCATCCAAACTATTATTTCAACATACAATTACATAAAAAGTATTAGAGATATTTTGTGCTATTCTTGTGTGTGCGGTCTTTGAAATCCAGTGTGTCTGCCACGTTCCAGCGCATCTCAGTTCAGACCAACCCCAGCGTCGGGGGCCTGATGGCCACGTGGGGCTGGTGGTTACCGTGTGGGACCAGAGCAGCTTTGAACCCACAGTACCTTGTTTTAGTATTTTTCAGAGAAAGCTGACAAACAGAGGCATTAAAAGACAGTGCTCTAGTATAACACAGCTTGCTCAGAACTGGCTCCATTTTAAGGATAAGGAAACTGAGGCAGAGCGTGACAGCACTTTGGAAGCAGGAGTAAGCACGCAGGTCCTGGCCACACAGAGGGATACGGTGGCCACCCGTCACACGTGGCTGTTCCCATTTAAATTAAGTAAAATTAAATACAATTTGAAATGCCTTCCTTGGCTGTGCTAGCCACATTTCCCGTGCTCGAGCCACATGAGGCTAGTGGCTGCCGTCTTGGGCAGCACGAATAGAGAACATTCCCATCGGTGCGGGACCTGCTCTCGGGCAGCCTGATCGCTGGAGCTCAAAGCCCGCCTCCCCGTCGGGCCAGCACGGTGGCCTTGGGCAAAGGCCTGTATCCAGGCAGCATCTGCCTCTGCGAGCAGATCTGAGGCTATGCCTGTGGGCTTTGTTCTGGCTGAAGCACATCAGGCCTGCTCCCTGGGAAGCAGGCAGCAATTCCTGGAAAGCGATGCTCTGGAAGCAGCCATCAAGTGGTGGGTTGGTGGGTGCACAGCCCAGCTCCCTGGCCCTGGGGTGGAATGGCCCCGGGGTGCGGTCAGCACTCTCCCAGAGGCCCCAGTGGCCCTGAGCTGCAGGTGCCCATGGCCGTGACTCGGTGACTACTCACCTGTTCTTGACGTCTTTCTCTGCCTTGTGTCACCTCCTCCATCCCCAGCCAGTGCTGCCTGGAATCACCTCCCAAGTAAAACACTTGAACTCGGCTCCTTAATTGGAAGATGGGCTTTTGGCCACATCTGCCCTGAGACAGCAAATCCCGTCCTGGGCCTGAAATGACAAACCTGCCAAAGGGCATAATGGTCCTATCCAAATGCTAAACGCATTACCAGTCCGGGAGGTTGCTGGGCAGGCCAGCCAGTGCTGAGTGCCTGGCGGCCAGGAGGTCACTGGGCTCGGTGGTGACGCAGGGGAGAAGGACAGACAACGTCTTGCCCCTTGGAGCATCATTCTCCCGTCTCTGACCCTCCACTTCTGTGCCACCAGATCCCCCTCGAGAGACCATCCGCCCTTGACCGTGTGTTGTGTTTGCCCCCGCAGGCCCCCTGGTGTTTGGCGAGCCCATCGCTGCCAGCCTGGGGACCGATGGCACCCACTACTGGAGTAAGAACTGGGCCAAGGCAGCAGCATTTGTGACCTCCCCTCCCCTGAGCCCAGACCCCACCACGCCTGACTACTTGACCTCCCTGCTGGCCTGGTGAGAGCCGAGGGGTGGCTGGGGGATACTGGGTCCACTGTGGTATCTTGGGAAGCACCCAGGAGGAGGAATGAGAATCCAGGAATCACCCTGGGCTTGTCACATAACCCACAATGGCTTTCTGTTTTGGTTTACTTATCGGCAAAGTGGGGGAGAACATGGTATCTCTTGCAGAGCTGGTTATGAGATGGTGTAGGAATATGGCCTAGAATTTAGGGTTCAGTACGTGGCTACTGTTACTTGCAAAGCACCCCCTGGGTATGTGCACAGAGTAGGAGTATAGCCACGTTGGTCCCTTCCCTGCTGTTGGCCAGTGTGAGGGAGGAACACTTAGGCCATAAGAGAAGGCTAAGTGGTGAGGTGTGCAGTCTGCTCTAGAAGCAGAGACACATGCTCAGAACCAGGAGACTTGCAGAAGGCTTCATGCGGGAGGCAACATCGGGCCTGGAGCTAGAGGATGAGTAGGAGTTTGCTGGATGGGGAGAAGTCTGGGCTTCTGGTCAGGAGGAGCCCCAAGGGGCTGGTAGTTGTGTACCTACCATGGAAATCTCTCCCAAATGATGCAGAAACCCTTGACTTGCATATCCATGGGCTTGCTCATCATCTGCAGCCCGATGTCTGGTGGGCAGCTCCAAGTCCAAACAGACTGCGCATCACTCCCGCAGAGCTGCTGTTCCCACAGTCTTGCCCATCTCTGAAGATGGCAGGACTCAGGCCAAAGGCCCCAGGATCTGACCACTTCTCGCCCCCTTCGCTGCGGCCATCCTGGCTTGCCTCTGACAGGCCTGTTTCTATGCTGTCCCTTCCATGCCCACAACACGTCTATTTCCAACCAGTGCCCAGATTTTAAACCCCAAGTCAGACCAAGCCACTCCTCTGCCTGGAGACCCGCAGGATCCTCTTCTCTCAACATGGATCACAAGTCCCCACAATGTGCCCCAAGGCCAAGCCTGATCTGGCCTCACCCCCTCAATGAACCTCATCTGGCACCTCTTTTGGGCGGATGTCCACTCTTCCAGGTGAGGAAGAGGAGGCCCACCTGGGGAGCCTTACCCGGAGAGCCCGGAGCCCACACTGACAGAGCCTTCCCCACAAGGGCCTTCCGATGTCACTCGCCGATGCCCACGATGTGCCCCAAATCCTCTCCCCAGATTCTCTTGGGGTTTTCATCTCACAGCCTGCACTGGGTGCCTGAAGTTCAACCTGAGCTCAGGTCGGCCCCCCACCTTGTTTTCGTCCTTGCAGTGGGGACCTGCAGGTCACGGGCAGCGGCCACTGTCCCTACAGCACTGCCCAGAAGGCGGTGGGCAAGGACAACTTCACTCTGATCCCTGAGGGCGTCAACGGGATTGAGGAGCGGATGACTGTTGTCTGGGACAAGGCAGTGGTAAGGCGCTCCCTGTTTCTCTATCCCCATTCTAGAAGCACCCTGCCTGGCCCATCAAAAGCTAGCACATAGTGCACTGCTGGTTCTTTTTAAATTTTTTTTAAAGATTTATTTATTTGAGAGAGAGAGAGGGTGCCAGAGTGAGTGGGGGAGGGGCAGAGGGAGAGAATCTTCAAGCAGGCTCCCCTCTGAGCGTGGAGCCCGATACGGGGCCCGATCCCACGACCCATGAGATCATGACCTGAGCTGAAACCAAGAGTCAGTTGCTCAACCGACTGAGCCCACCAGGCGCCCCTGAACTGCTGATTCTTAAAGCTCCTCCTTTCCTTGCTTTGAGGCAGGAGCAGAATACACCAGGAGAGCACGCGAGGAAAGGTGTGACTCTTAACAGAGCAGCACAAGTCCTGTGGGGTCCTCTGCAGTCACGAACCTGACAGCTGCCCAGCGTTCTTTAAGGATGCAAAACGTTTTCTTTAGTTTTGTTCTGACTGCATCTCAGTCCCTGTAAGGGTGACTTTGTAAACCGTGTGTCTGGGGTTGACAGTGGGTACAGAGGGTGCTTGTTGCGTTAGGACGCCCCACATCACACCCTGATCCCTGACTTGAGCCAGAGATTTTTATTTTCTATTAAACTTGGCCCCAGTGGGCCTGACAAGATGCCACAGAGGCCGTTGAGCAAATGTCAACGCAGCTCCGAGTGGTCAGTTACATTTCTGCTCCAGTGGGGCCAGGCCCTTGTGCCCTTTCAGGATGGCCTGTTTTCAGCGGGGGAGGAGAAAATGCCAGACTGCTCTCGAGGACTCCTGTCGGCGGGTCTAGATTTGTGCCTGTCTGCCCTTCCCCCAGCCCTGTGATGGGGGGCACTCTTCTCATCAGCCGATCTTGCCTTTAGGCTACGGGCAAAATGGATGAGAACCAGTTTGTTGCTATTACCAGCACCAATGCAGCCAAGATCTTTAACCTGTACCCCAGGAAAGGGCGGATTGCCGTGGGCTCGGATGCCGATGTGGTCATCTGGGACCCCGACAAGGTGAAGACCATAACAGCCAAGAGTCACAAGTCGGTAAGTCCTGGCTTACCTGAGATGCTCCTGATTTGGGTAAGCAGTTCTTGCTTGGTCGGCAACCACTTTAGAAGCCTCTGGTTGAAAATGATTTATGGAGTTTCCAACCAGGATGTGATCTGCTATCTGGCATGACTCAGTCCTTCACATTTCTCTGCCAGTTGGAGAGACTGGCTTTGAGCTGGCTCAGCTAAGCTGCTGATGTGCTACTGAACACATTCTCTCTCTCCTTCTCTCTGTCTCTCTCTCTCTCAGTGGCCCCTGCCCTAGATGCATGCATTCTTAGGCTCAGAGAAGTTTTAGGTCCAAGATTCTTTCTCCAATCTAGTTATCAAGCTAGAAAGGGTTTGATCTCCTATCTCAGAAACCTCCTACTTCATGTTGGGGTGACTGCTAACACTCGGCAGAGGAAAGGGTTGGGTCTAGAGCCCCCTGTGTTTGAGCACACCACAGGGCTGCATGCTTTCCCAAGCTCCAGGCCCCAAGCCTATGGCTGTGGGTTATTTCTGTGCTTTGTATCCTATGTGCCCTTGATTTCTTCACTCCACCAGCAAACCTAGGACGTAGAGAGACAAACCATCTTCCCCTCCCTTGCTGCTTGCTTCAAGTCCACTCTGCAAGGCCAGCAATGATCTTGGGTCCAGATTAATGTCCACACTCATGAGACAGGAGGCCACATCCTGGACCCTGGCCCACTAAGTCTTGTGACAGGACACGGACGGGGAGGCAGAGTGTGTGCACACTGCTTTGCCCTGTGACGGGGTCCTCATTGTCACATGGGCATAGCTTCCCAGCCTCTCAGGGGTTACCTGCTGGGAGAGGCGAGGCCACATGCATGAGGACAGGACCCCAGGCACAAGGAAGTCTCAAAAGAAAGCGACAAGAACTGTTCGTAGCAGTTCATGAGCTTGGCCCCCAGGTCCCTGCTTGGCCACAGGAGATGGCATGGGGCTGTAGAAGTCTTGTCCAGCTCGCCAGCCGGCTGTCATGCTTAGCCAGTGCTCCCTAGTGACACGCTGCCTTCCCTCAGCCCCCATCCCTGGGGACAGGATCAGGAGGAAACGAGCTTGAGGTCTCCTCCCTGGAGAAAGGTGTACCCCGTTCTCCAAGCTTACCAACTCACAGGCACACGATCCCGCTGGAATCCCTGTGAACGCAGTGATGCGTGTGCGCAGAGAGAGGTCTGGTCATGCAGGAGCGCACGTGTTCCCTCGCGGTGTCAGGAAGGTGTCCCATCAGGAGAACGTTTGAGAGGGTCTGGCGGTTGAGGGTGTTTGCCACCCCGCCACCCGCCTGCTTTAGGTCGTTGCACACGGGTGTACGCTGTGGTGGTTTGTATGATCAGAAGGTTGTACATCCCCCCCAGAAAGAAACCCCAGACTCATTAGCAGTCACTCCCTGTTCTCCTCTCCCAGTCCCTGTCGACCGGGGATCTGATTTCTTTCCCTCTGGATTTGCCAATTCTGGACGTATCACAGAAAAGGATCCCACAATGTGTGGCCTTTCATGTCTGCCTTATTTCCCTTGGCTTCATGGTTAGAGGCTCGTCCACACTGTGGTGTGTGTTAGTACTTCATTCCTTTTTTTTTAAATTTAGATTTTATTTATTTGAGAGAGAGAGAGAGAGCGTGCAAGAGTGGGGGGAGGGGCAGAGGGAGAGAGAAGCAGGCTCCCCACTGAGCAGGGAGCCTGACGTGGGACTCGATCCCAGGACCCCGAGATCATGACCTGAGCTGAAGGCAGACGCTTCACTGACTGAGCCACCCAAGGTGTCCCAGTTTATTTCGTTGTAATTGTGGTCCTTTGTACTGTTTGAATTCATTACATCGTTCACATGTTACCTTTAGGAAACGAAACAACTTTTAAAACCCCATGTAGTGGCAAGATATCGAATGTGGCATCTGTAGGGGGTAAGCCTGAGCCTCGTAAGAGCTTCCCGATTAGGAGGGTCACGATGGCGCACATCATGTCCTTCCCGCACGAGGAATAGCGGGCCGGGTGGGGCTGGGCGAGCTGGGAGGTTGACCAGTCTCGACTGGTAGCAGTGTGGCTTGTTTCCTCACTGCCTTTTGGGTCACTCATGCTCCGCATTTGGGCTTCAGTGGGATGTAAGTCAGCACGCCACGGGTCCCTTCAGGGTGACTCAAGAAGCATTAGATTAGCAAACGTTACAACAGAGAGCAGACCATCCGCCTGGTCCTGGGAGGCAGCCGCAGAGAGAGTGTGGCTCCCAAAATCTCCTGGAAGTGATAAGAGAACCCATTGGCTGATTAAAAACCAATAGAAAGAATCGATAGCTTTTCTATGAAGTAATTCAAAAGCACTTCAAAAAATAGAATGGAAATCAAAATCCTGTTTCTAATAACAACAAAAACTAAAGACTTTTATAAACACAAGTTCTTTTATGCTAAAACGATTTATTAGAGCGAACATAGCAATTCTTGCTAATTTCATGTATAAGTTTGAAGTAATCCCATCAGAAAACTGAATGGAATTGTCCTTTAGCTAGAAAAGCAGAGGTCCTAGATGCTAAACGTGAGAATAGTCAAACATTTCTGGAATGCTAAGGGGCAAGCCCTGCTTATCCAAGTCTTTTTTTTTTTTTTTTTCCTTAAGATTTTATTTATTTGAGAGAGAGAGAGAGAAAGGGGGAGGGGCAGTGGGGGAGAGGGAGAGAGAGAGTACGATGCTATTTCTCACCAGAGCAGCGACCGAGACCCTGGTGGTTAATGGGGCACAGGTGGGGTCAGATGGCAGGAGGCAGGTGAGGGAACACGAACCTATCAAAGTTAAAGATCCATTTACTCTTTGGCCCCAACTCCCCATCTAGAAAGATGCTCACACAGGCCAGTGTGGACACACAGACATGTGGTTCAGTATGGGTTTAAACAATCCAGTTGTCCATCTCTGGGAACTGGATAAATCAATTCCCCCTGTGAGGAAATACGGTACAGAGGTTTAAAGGGTGTTAAAAACATTTTTAATAGGGACCTGTGCCGATATGGAACAATCTCTGAGGTCAGGAGAAAAATTCGGGCAAAAGCCATCTGTATGGAACTCTTGCAGTGTCGAGACTGTTGTTCATGCTCCGAAAATATCTGGAGTCTCAGAAGAATCTCTTTAAGGCAGATGTCTCAGTCCGAGGTGGCAGAGAGACCTGTTTTTTAAAATCAAGTATCATTTGTGCTTTTTGATTTTTCTTTTACCATCTAGATGACCTACTTTTTAAATAATAAAAAAACAGTTGGCTAGTGGTAGTTACATTCCCTTTAGGAGTTATGAAAGGAATGTGTATTTTTAAGAGCATATTTTGACTTTCAAATCAGCCAAACCAAAGAAAGAAATCGAAAATATAAAAATGACCTTATTCAGTGCTGGAGGGGAGTTCATGGATGCGAAACCAAGGAAGTGTCTCTGTCCTGCTGCTGATGTGGTGTCGGGTGGTCTGATGCCTTTGGAGAGCAACTCGGCAGCATGTAACAAGTACCCTAAAAAAGCTCATTATCTCTTGACCCAGTAATTTAATTATAGAAAACTAACTCTAAAGAAGATGTATATATATATATATATATTTTTTTTTTTTTATTTATTTATTTGACAGAGACAGAGAGAGAGAGGGAACACAAGCCGGGGGAGTGGGAGAGGGAGAAGCAGGCTTCCCGTGGAGCAGGGAGCCCAATGTGGGGCTCGATCCCAGGATCCCGGGACCATGACCTGAGCTGAAGGCAGACGCCTAATGACTGAGCTACCCAGGCACCCCTAAAGAAGATATTTCTTAAAAAGACACAAAAATGCCCATTGTAGCTAGAGCAGGCACATGGCCAGACAACAGGGAGGCCCCGTTCCCGATGCCTCGGACGTTAGTTGGATTCTGTAAAACCACCCTCAGCCTAAGTGCCCAAGAGCGAGCGAGGGTTGGTTCTGCTAAGGAAGGCACATAGACGGGAATATGACGCGGCCCCGGAGAAGACGCTTCCAGAGGGCAAGCACGGGAAGTGCCCGCGGAAGACGGCGGGAGGGTTACACCCAGTGCGGTAAGGGCTCCGCTGTGCTTCTTGCCGTGCAGGCTGTGGAATACAACATCTTCGAGGGCATGGAGTGCCACGGCTCCCCGCTGGTGGTCATCAGCCAGGGCAAGATCGTCTTCGAGGACGGCAACATTAACGTCAACAAGGGCGTGGGCCACTTCATCCCCCGGAAGCCTTTCCCCGAGTACCTCTACCAGCGCGTCAGGATCAGGAGCAAGGTGAGTGGGGCCGGGGTCCAGAGCCACGGCTGCAGGGGCCATGGCACTGCCCTGCCTGCATCCTGGGGCCGGAGTTGAGGCCCCGGGATTTTGTGGGCTGTAAAGGGGCATGCACGTGTGGAATGGGAGGGGTGGCAGGAGTAACACTGACCGGAGCTGCTTTGGAGTACGCATCCCACATCATCTCAGGGGTCCCCCAGCTGGAACTGAGGGACACCCCAGAGGTGCGAGAAGCAGGTATTACGAAGAGGACAAGAGAAAGGTGGCCAGACCTATAGTCACGGGTGTAGGGCTTCCCCGGGGCAACGCTCAACCCGTGGGGATGGAGACCATCGTCCATGCCTTGCCCCCGCAAGAGGGTCCGTGCAGACGTTCGCTTCCCAATTTCCCTGAGCCGGCTGCCCTCAAAGCTGGCCCCATCACCCCACCATGCACCAGGTTTTCTCCCTTCTTCTCCCCCTTCTTTCTGGAATCACCTCCCAAATAAACTAGCTCCCCCAAATCCTTGTCTTGGGCCCACCTTCTGCAAGACCATAGATGATTCAGTGGTCCTTGAGGGGGATGGTGGGTGTGTCAGGGAAAGGGTTTTCCTCTTGAAAATGGGTTTGGGGTCCTCCTGTATGGAGCTGTGTGTGTGTGTGTGTGTGTGTGTGTTGTGTGCATGTATGTGCGTGCATGCACGTGCATGTCTGTGTCGGGTTGTATATATGGGTGCATGCATGTGCATGTGTGCACATGTGAATTGCGTGTGTACGTGTGTGTATGGGGAGTAAATGCATGCATGTGGGGTATGTGTGCGCATGTGTACCCACACGTGTGTGTGCGCGTGCGCGCGTGTCCCTGAGGTCACCTCAGGTCACTATCCGGCCGCAGGGCTCCGGCCTCCCTGAATGGGAAGGTGCAGGTGCATCTTGCCCATCCATCCCCTCCCCCACCCCCCGTTTAGGTTTCGGGATTGCAAGGTGTTCCCAGAGGCATGTACGACGGTCCCGTGTACGAGGTGCCAGCCACACCCAAATATGCGACTCCTGCTCCTTCTGCCAAGTCCTCGCCTTCCAAACACCAGCCCCCGCCCATCAGAAACCTCCACCAGTCCAACTTCAGTTTATCAGGTAAGAGGCCCCCCATGCCCACAGCACTTCCAAGAGGCCCCCTTGCGCGCTAGATGAGAAAGCAAGGATCAGGTGGGGAGCCCCATCTCCTTTCTTCCTGGGAGTAGCAGAGCGGGTGGGGGGAGGTCAGAAAGCAGAGGGGCTCCACAGGGGTCCACAGAGACGCCTGACCCTGGTTATGAAGTCTGCACAAAAATTGGCCCTGAGCTCATCCTTAAGCACGCCTTCCCCGTGAAGCTGAACGTGGTCCCTCAGACCCCAGGGACACTGCAGTTTCATGAGCTCGCCACATGAGGGCAGACACGCACACGCTGGGATTGATGGGAATTTTGTCCCCTAGCGTATCTGAGGCTTTAGCATGTGTTACACACTGGGCTAGATGCTAGGAATACGGTGATGGATGAGACACAGCTGGGCAGTCCCCAGTCTGCTCCGGGGGGCAGCAAGTGTTGTCTTTTTTTTTTTAAGATTTTATTTATTTGACACAGAGAGAGACAGCGAGAGAGGGAACACAAGCAGGGGGAGTGGGACAGGGAGAAGTAGACTCCCCACTGAGCAGGGAGCCCAATGTGGGGTTCGATCCCAGGACCCTAGGATCATGACCTGAGCTGAAGGCAGATGCTTAATGACTGAGCCACCCAGGCGCCCCCAGCAAATGTCTTAAAGGACCAGATAGTAAATGGTCTAGGTTTTGTGAGCCAAGAGGCAAAATTTAGGGTATTATATTAAGTAGATATTTCAAATGTAATCATTGAAAAGTGTAAAAAAAAAAGTAAAAAACTATTCTTAGCCCATGGACTATACAAAAACAGGTGGTGGCCCAGCTTTGTCAGTGGTCCCTCCTTTGCCGACTCTGATCTAACAGGAGTGAAAACCATTTAAACTGAGAAGCTGATATGTTTAGCAAATGAGAATGGAGGGGCAGAGAGAGAGATGACTCTTCACTTAAATTGTGGGGGTGACAACTGCCCTCCATCCGGGGAGTGTCTGTCTCAGCGATTATGCAGTGGGGGACATAAGTTGTGGTGGGGGGTGCTCATCTTACGTAAGTTGTGTGGGGGGGCTCATCTTACTTCCCATGAGCCTTCATGCCAGGGTTTCTCATATACTGAGTGTGATTCCAGTCTTTAAAGAGAACTAGTATTTTTTCCACCAGTGGACCCAAAACACCACTCATGTATCTCATCTGATGCTCAGTCAACACAACAGGGATTGGACACACAGCCAGGACAAGCCACCTGGGTGAAGCTATATGGAGTTCACAGACCGGACCTCTCCTCAAGACATGCAACTCACCATTAGTATTAAATACGGGGGGGAACCCCTCCCTTTTAGAACTAGAAGAACAATGAAATGAAAAGTCTGCTGGAAGGGCTCCACCACCACCACACGCCCCAGGTCGGCTCACCATCTCCCAGACCCACCGCCCTGCCCCAGCCCGCCTCACGGCAGGTTAGCAGGTGACTTCATTTGTTACCAGCACCGTAGGCACTTTCTGAATCAGGAATGACTTCACAGATGCCTTTTAAATACCAGCTTAATATCACTTTATAGAGATGCAACGTGATTGACTGCACTAGGGTCCTTTTGCCCGACAGGTGCTTTCAGAGTAGCAAACATGTAACCAGCAAGGTGGAGAGGATTATGGGGGAAACAGGTATTAGGCCTGATTTCTGGTTCTGGGACTTGAGGAAGTTCCTGGTTTCCCAGGAAGACACAGTGTCTACCAAGAGAACTCTGAGAAAATCAGGCAGCTCTCCACGCTACATGCATAGTGGCTTTCGGAGATGGAAGGCCCTTCATCTCCGCTCCTCTCACTCAATGGAAAGGAAGTGAAGGCTGAGGGAAGGAGGGTCTGATTCCAAATCACCCACATTCCAGACATGATCTGTACTGCAACCTCTCTCCGGACTGGACCTCAGGGCCCTCTCACACCATCCCTCCTTTTGGCTTTGTCCATCAGTCACTACTTACTCATTGAATACGTATCTATTGAGCACCAGGCGCTGGGCTTGATGCTGGAACTTTACATCTTTAACTGCCAGAGAACGTATAACAAATGGTTGGTTTTGCAGATTGGAAACAAAAAAATGATGCCCCTCCCCCATGCAGATCTGGCCATTGCAAACGAGGTGGGTAAATCCAGCTCTGAGTAGTTCTCACACACACACACACACACACACACACACACACACACGCATGCACTCCCATGCGTACCGTACATAAAATACCTTCGGAGCATCGGGAACTACTGTGCATTGTTCTGATCCAATAGGAGCTAGAGCTGTGGAGACAAACCAGTTGGGGCTGGAATTGTGGCTTGCCCACCTTCCAGCTTTGCCCCCCCAAGGTGCATGACCTGAGCCTCCAATTCCTCATCTGTACACTTGGGGTAACCCCCCTTCATAGTACTGCTGTGTACCCTAAACTCAAGCACATATGTTAAAGCACCAAGGCTATGCCTGCACACAGTAGGCACTCAATAAGTGCTTGTCCTCGTGGCTCAAGAACATGAAGCCAGGCAAGATATAGTGCAGGGCGGCCAGGGCTGCAAGAGGGTGACGCCAGAGCCAGAGGGGGGCACAGAGGAGAGAGCAGTGAACCCCGTGGATGTTGGGGAGCCCTCCCAGAGGTGAGCCTGGACTGAGCCCCAAAGGGTGGGGAGGCTGGAGGGCATGTCAGGACAAGGGCTCAGCGTCCCGACCCCCAGGAGCAGCAGGTGGAACCTGTCGGCAGTGATTGGCCCCGTCTCTTCCAGGTGCCCAGATAGATGACAACAATCCCCGGCGCACCGGCCACCGCATCGTGGCGCCCCCTGGTGGCCGCTCCAACATCACCAGTCTCGGCTGAAGGCGGACGAGTGGACAGATGAGCTAGCGTGAAGCGTTCTAGGAATGTCCATTCCTTTCCCTGTCAGGGATTGAGAAATCCGCAGTTTTATTTGGTACTGATGGGGGGAAAAATTGAATGATGTTCTTTCCTCTCTTGTTTAGGAAGAAGTGGTACTAGTGTGGTGTGTTTGCTTGGAAACTCCTTGCCCCACAGTTGTGTGTTCATGCCGACTCCACCTCAGAGCATGGGTCTCCATTTCCCTCCTTAGTGAACGCAGGTTCTAGCATCGTCTTGTACTGTCCCTCCCACTTCTGACTCCACGGGCTCCATGAATCTCTGGGTGGTTCCTTTCGCACCCTTGTAGCTGCTCTAGGATAGTTGATGCATGTTACTAAATTATGTGTGCAAGTCTGTGAGTGCATCTGACGGAACATCGCCAAGGACCAATGTAGACACAATGCCGAGACCTCAAGCCCTCAGGGGCAATTCCAAAACTCTTTACCGCGAGGATGTTTACTCATTGCCCCCACCCCAAGTCCACGCTAGAAAGAAGCCTGCCCCACTCCTCCCCACCCCACCCCCCTTGAAAACCTTCTGTGAATTCTCAGAGAGGCAGGGGAGCCTTCCAGTGTTTGCAGAGAAACATCATCCACGTCCTGTGTCAGAAACTCTGGTCTCCGTGGCACTTGTGACTCGCCATGCTGTCTTCTGGTCTGTGTGTGTCCTTCCAGCCAGCTCCGACTTCAGGCCTAACCAGGTTCACACTCAGAAAGGGGGCTCCCCACCCCCATCAGGGCTGACGATGGTCGGGCAACAGCTGCTCCCCGTTGCCCCGCTCCTGGTCCCTTCGAGGTGTTTGACGGGGCAGTCAGATTTTTAAAGTTTTGTACAAAGTTTTCCTTTGTAATCACCCCCCATTTTTACTTACCAACTGACTTATTGTGGCTCTTATTTCTGAATTCAAAGCTTGTGAAAAAATAAAGAAAAGAAACAGCCTGCTGGCCTGACTAGAGTGTTTTCATTTAAGGGTGGCAGCTCCGTTAGATGCAAACGCTCAGCCCTCCTCCTTGTGATGATTGGAGCATGGTGGTTGCTTCCCAGGACTCATGCTTGGTAGACACTGGGGGAAGTAGAGGAGGAAGGAGAGGGAGCCAGTCACGAGGTGTGGAGTGTTGATCTCAGACCCTGAGGTCATGGTGGGAAAGGCAGGTGGCAGGTGGCTTCTGGGACGTGGTTTGAAAGCCCACGTCCATTCCTTCCTGCTTGGCCCATTCTTGGTGTGCTCTCTTCTTGTAGGTTACCATCTGCCTCAGACTGGGAGCTCCAACCTTCTAAATAGCACATTTCTTCCCTCTGGTTCCATGAGCAAATGCACCTTCTGAGGAATAAAAACTCAGGCAAAGTTGCCTGTCCCAATTTGCCACTAGTAGTAGTGATAGTGGTGATGGTGGTGGTGAGGATGATGGTGATGGTGATAATGATGGTGATGATGGTGATGATGAAAATGATGGTGATGATGGTGATGATGATGGTGATGATGGTGGTGATGATGGTGATGGTGATGATGATGGTGATGATGGTGGTGATGATGGTGATGATGATGGTGGTGATGATGACAATGATGGTGATGGTGGTGGTGATGATGGTGGTGATGGTGATAATGATGGTGATGATGATGGTGGTGATGATGGTGATGATGGTGATGATGGTGGTGATGGTGATAATGATGGTGGTGGTGATGGTGGTGATGATGACGATAGTGATGATGGTGATGGTGATGGTGGTGATGATGGTGATGATGACGATGATGGTGGTGATGGTGATAATGATGGTGATGGTGATGGTGGTGATGGTGGTGATGATGGTGATGATGGTGGTGATGATGGTGATGATGATGGTGGTGATGATGGTGGTGGTGATGGTGGTGGTGGTGATGATGATGGTGGTGATGATGATGATGGTGATGATGATGGTGATGATGATGATGGTGGTGCTGGTGGTGATGGTGATGCTGCTGATGATGGTGGTGATGGTGATGATGATGGTGGTGATGATGGTGATGGTGGTGGTGATGATGGTGGTGATGATGGTGGTGATGGTGGTGATGGTGATGCTGGTGGTGATGGTGATGCTGCTGATGATGGTGGTGATGGTGATAATGATGGTGATGATGGTGGTGATGATGGTGATGGTGGTGGTGATGATGGTGGTGATGGTGATAATGATGGTGATGATGGTGGTGATGATGGTGATGATGACGATGATGGTGACGGTGCTGATGATGCAGGCAGTACCTGTGTGGCGCTGGCTACATGTTAGGTGCTCTGTGAGGTAGGCTCTGTTACTATGCCCCTTTTACAGAGGAGTCCTAAGAGTTCAGTGACTTATCCAAGATCACACAGTGAGAAAGAGGCTGATGCAGGATTTGAATCCAAGACCCATGAAGTTTGGCCCTAAGTCCAAAGTTCCTTTCTCCTAAGTTTTACAGTCATTCAAGGCAGCATGGTTTTAGATGGTTGTACATCTACTGCATGGTTTTAGCGTATTCTCCCCTTACCTGGCTGGGTTAAGATACCTTAGTTAAGGTCCAACATGGTGTTGGCTCATGGTCTGTCATGGAAACAAGGCTAAATACAGGGAAAGGTCAAGAATAAAGAACATGGCCTTTTGATGTTTGGCCGTGGCCCATTCAGACTATTACAGGGCACCACAGAAACTTCCAGAAGAGTAAAGTTGGCAGCAGTGAGTTGCCCCACTCTCTGGAAAGCATTTCCTCTCCTGCATCACCCCCTAGCCCATCCGGGGGTGCGAGCAGAAGCAGCCCTAACATCCTCTAAGACCGACCCTGGTGGGGCTACTGCCCTGCTGCATAACTGACTGAGGTCGCCAGGACCCACTGTTCCACGGAGGTTCCCCAGCACCTCCAAGAGTCACAGTCACAGGTCCTGGTGGTGCAAGACATACAAGCCTTAAGTTTTGGAGGCTGCAACATTCCTTGTAAGGCACGTGCTTCTCTTTCGTGTCCTGAGCTGGTAGGAAGAGGTAGGGAATGTTTCTCAGAAAGCTTTAAGGGAAAGCTATCCATTCTCTCATCCATCTATCTACACCTGTGATTCCCCTTTACCATGTCATAGCCTAGTCCCAGGTTCTGGGAATTAGGATGGGGACACCTTGGGTGGAGGGGCATTATTCTGCTGTCCACAAGTCTCCTAAGTCGCTTTCCAAAAACTTTGTTGTATCTTGCCACATTTGGGTATATGATCCATCTTTCATTAATCTTTGTGTATAAGGAAAGGGAAGGCTCAAAACTTCCTTTTTCCCATATAATATCCAGATGACCCAACACAATTTTACTGAAAAGACCATTCTTCCCCCCATTTGGCTGCAGTGGTGGCTTTATTATAAACCAGGTGACCATAGTGTGTTGGTCTTCTGATCTAGTGGTCTCAAGGTACCCTGCAAAACAAATACTAAACACTGGGCTGGGCTGGGCTGGGAGCCCCAGTTTGCACTGTTTGCTAATTTCCCCTGTAGCCAGCTTCAAACTACCACCGTGAAGCTAGCGAGTTTGTAACTCATTAAGTTTAAGTGGGCTCTGGTGTCCCAGTAAGGGCTGGCCTGACCCATCTGCATCAGTTGGTCTATTTTCGCACCTGTGTTGCATGTTGACTCTAAAAAGTGAGACAGAACGGCCAAGGTCTCCCCCATCCATTTTCTGCCTAATGTACTCTGGCCCCAGAGTCAGTGTGGCCGCTTGGTTATGGTGAGTGGACCAGAGAAGGCTGCTCCCAAGGCTTGAGTGTCATGTCTCCGCACACTCAGGGGCTGTTCTTTGGACCAAAGCGCATGCGGTCAGGACTCTCTGTGGGACAAAGTGTGGGCCCTGATGATGCACATTTGCGGTGTCATTGGCCCCGAGTTTCTCTCCAGTGACATCAATTTCTGGAGCAGAGGAACAAGAAGAGTATTTTTGAACCAAAAGTACTTTTGCCACATTGAAGTTTCCTTCCCCATCCCCCTCTTTCTTCCTTCTTCCTCCCACCAAGTGACTGTGGAGGCCGTTTTGTGCCAGACACTATGCTCATCAGGGGGAATGCATTCCGGGGGAAGGTCAGGTGTGAAAATATTGCCCCAAACATCTAACCGTGCCCGCTTCCAGGAAGGGTAGCAGGTGCTTATCTCCCGATCCTGGTGTTTCCACAGAGGGAGGGGCGTCCGCGCTCTGGGGGAGAGGTGCGGGGGCTCAACTGGCCTTTCTCAGTGCTTCTTCCCCGGGGAGGGAGACGCACCTGCTTGCTCAGTCTGGGAAGAGGGAACTGAGTGTGCCGAGTGGTGTCCTTTGCTCTCTCCAAGGAGGTGACCGATCTCAGGACACATGCTTCTCCTCGGACGTGGTTTACCATGAAGTCATGATGTCTGCACAGACCCCCACCCAGGCCCAGGGGTGGGCTTAGCGATATGTCCACAGAGTCCTCTAATTCTGTACACTTTCCACAGCCAGAGGTTTGAACTGCAACCGGTTAAGACATGATTTCCTTCCACTCCAACGTCCCCGAGTATCACGTGACCCTGGGGAGGCCGTGGCTATTTCCGGGGCCGAATTAGGGCAGGTGGACTGGGGTTCAGTGGGGATGTTTCTTTTTT